TCTCTCCCACCTTTAAAACAAGAATCCTTTGTTATTTTTACATCCTTCTCTAGCAATGTCTCAATTTCTCTCCTTTTCCTTAAGGTTAGCTTCTTAAAAGACTAATCCCCTCACCCCTCTGCAGTCTGGCTTCTCCCCTCTGCAGTCTGGCTTCTCCCCTCCTTGCCTGAAACCACTCTTTCCGAGGTCACTGATGAATTCCTGTCTGCCAAATCCGGCAGGCACTTTCAGGCTTCATAAGAGTCTTCCTCGTATTATTTGACCTCTCCACTGCCTTTGATGCCATTGACCCCCTCCTTCCTTCTTGAAACTCTGTCCTTCCTTGGCTTCCCTGATTCAGGTTCTTCTGGTTTTTCTCCTCCCTATCAAACTGCCCCTTCCTAGTCTTCTCCCTACATGCATGCCTTAAATAATACTGTATTGGCAGAGTCCAATCCTTTCTCTTTTCCCAGTACGTCCTTCTTGGGATCTCACTCATTCTCATGGCTCTACCTAAAAGTTATAGGCTCAGGGCTCACAAATTTCCATCCTGGATTCACTGGACAGCTCTACTTGGATATTCCACAGACACTTCCAATCCTTTGTCCTAACAGCTGAGCTGCCCCTTCGTTATTTCCTGTCTCTGTAGATGAAACAGCCATTTATCTGCTTGGCCTAGCTGAAAAACTGTGAGTAAGCCTAGACTCTTTCCTGACCTTCACATCAAATTAGTCATCATGACCTGTGAATTCTGCTAAGGAGATTTGTCTTGTAGTAGGCCCATTCGCTCCAAGCCCAGTGCAAATATTTTAATTCTATTCAGACCCCCATCATTTCTCACCTAATTTACCGAGGAAAATATCTCTTCTCTCATTCTCTTTCACTGTCAATGATCTTTTAAAGTCACAAGTCTAACTATGCCATTACATTGCTTAAGGCACTTCTATGGCTCCTCCTCTCCTTTGGAGTAAACTCTTAGTATGGCATTCAAGACCCCTCATGTCTGGCCACTGCCTAACTTTCTAACCCTGTACCCTGCAGTTCCCTCCTCCCAAACATGTACACATTTTCAGCTCCTTCATCTGCCCATCTAGCCAGTTCTTTGAAAATATCATACTTACTTTAGCCTCTATGCTTCTGCCCAGGCTACTCCCTCTACCTGGAATACCCATCCTTCTCTGTTTTCAGGCTAACTCTGACTTGTCAGTTCTCTGAGGAGCCTTTGCTGAATAGATATCCTGCATGCTTCCCTCACCCCTGCACATACTTCTGTCTCAGCATTCCTTGTCTTGAACTGCAACTACAGAGAAACCTGTGAGAGCTGGAACTCAACGGGACTGTGTTGTTTTTCCAGGTCTTGCAAGTTTTCTACCTTTGACAGGGTTCAGTCTTATCACTTTTCTATCACTTGTTCTAGTGGAAAATATTTGAGTTTTCCTTTTCTGACAGGTTTCCGCCTTACACAGGTTCCAGCTTTTGCAGATTTTACTGTATTTTCTTGTTTATCCCACTTGTCTGCATATTCCCTGATATTAAAAACTATGTCTTCTGCATATTTCCAAAGCCTGGAACATGTTATGTACTCAGCAGTTACATATTACAATGAAATGTGTGCTGCTTTCAGGTTCTGAAAATATTGTCTGCATGACCACAGTTGAGTCATAAAGGTCATAGGACTGGATTTCATTTTCATTAAATTCATGCACAGTAGAGATCACAAGTCATGTTTTCTTGGAAAAAATCCAAATAGTCATGCATTTTTTATTGGATACATTAATAGTAAAATTAATGCTAAAGTGACTGTCTTATGGGAACACCAATGTTTGTTTGCCTTCTAGACATGAACAGCTCACCCAGCAGTCCCTGAAGTGGCTGAGAATTCATTTCTGCATCCTCTGCAGGACCCTGTCTTCTCTAGTCAGATCAGCCTAAGGCAGATTAATGCTACCTGAGCATGCCTTGGGCCTACAGATTCTCCATAACCCCTCCTACAAATCAGAGCTTAAGGAGGACTGGCCTTTGGAAATCCCCATTTGTTCCCTCCGTTTCTTAAAGGGCCCCTATCAGACAGACCAACTTGCAGGACCTAAGCCACAGCAGGGAAAAGCCCTTGGCATTACCCAAGTTGGAAGTTGCTGTGGCCCAGCTTTCCTGGGCTTGGCTTTTATGTCTTTACTTACCCTGCGCGTTCCTTGTGGATGGTCTGCCTAAAGAAGACATTCAGAGAATGTCTTTCAAATTCGGTCTGTCTTAGATACATAGGCGGTGGGAAAAATGAACAATCTCTATAGCAGTAGTGAGCCTTTACTTATCTAGCCCTGCCTTCAAAACCCTTAACCTCCTATAAGCAGAAGGGCATGTCCTTACCTCTAAATAGCTTGGAAAAACTTTTTCTTCTTTATTTATATTTAAAAAAAAAAAAAAGCATTACTATAAAAGACCCATTTTTATACCTCACAGTCTTCCCTTCTCAAGAAATTTAATCTCATTTTTTTTTGTGCTACAACTTCCGGCCTTGGGGGAGAAAAGCTGATTGACATTATCTGTCTTAAAAGTCTGTATTTTTTATGGCCACCACTAAATCTCCTGGACACAACATCTTCTCCAGACACAATAAACTCAGTTCTTTATCTTTCCTGTATATATATTGCATTTTCCAGTTCTTTGTGTCTGTTATGACTGACCTCATGTAAATTATAGTACTAGACACTGAGAAGTGATAGAAAGGAGACAGTAGATAAGGTGCTTCTGGAGGAACTTAGAATCTCTTCTAATAGCAGAGAGAAAAATAAACATGTGAAATAGATGCAGACACATAGAAACATAAAACAAATATCTAGCTAACTTCAGCTGTACACATGATGTTGAAGGAGTATTAGAGATGACTGTGACCAAAATTTGTTAGTTATTAGTTATTATAAGAAGGAGAATAATGAGTAATGCTCAGAAGCAAGAAGGACTGAGCCTACTTAGGAGAAACTAAAAATTCTCTTTGTTGCTCATCAGCTGTGTTCATTAATGAGTCTGTCTCCAGCACTTAGCATAATGCCTGGCTTATTTTAGGCACTCAATAAGTGTTCGTTGACTGGATGACTGATTGGGTATAGTACTCCGGTAAGGGTACACCAGTATGATTTGGGAATATTTGTAAATAATTCCTGTATCTTGTATACTCCTAGTCATAGAAGTCGTAGAATTTTAGAGTAGAAAGGTCGTTGAGTAAAATATTACAAATATGCCTATCCTACTTTCCAAAATAGAATATGCCTGCCCCAGTCCTCCATGGGGGAAGGACTGTGTCTAATTGGTGTACTGCTTTCTTCAGTGGCCTAGTACAGTGCCTAGCACACTAGTTAACCAGCTGCTGTGGAATCAGTTCTGACTCTTGGTAACCCCATATGTGTCAGAGCAGAATTGTGCTCCATAGGGTTTTCAATGGCTAACTTTTTCAGAAGTAGATTGCCAGGCCTTTCTTCTAAGGCATCTCTGCATGTACCCAAACCTCCAAATCTTTTGGTTAGCAGCTGAGCGTGTTAACCATTTTTACCACCCAGGATCTGGCGCACAGTATGTGCTTTATCAGTGTTGGATGGGTGAGTAGATGGATGGATGGATAGATGGGTGAATGGATACACCTATGAATGAATGAATGGATGGAAGGATGGCTGAATAATTTCATCTCTAGGATTTGGCAAGTAATACAGGCTTAATTGAAAGATTAAGTAATGAATTTCCAAATAGATATTAGACAAGTGGTTCTAAACTACTTTGGCTGCCCTAGTCACCAGGAATCTTTTTGTCTTATTTTGTTTTGTTGAACACTGATTTCTGGGGTCTACCCATGTACATGCCCTGTTATTTTCTAAATGCTGCCCAAGTGATTCTAATAGCCAGGGTTGGGATCCACCATCTTAGAACATTCCAAATATATGTGCCTCATGCATATCTCTTATCATTTGATCATTGTACTGTAATTATTAGTTCGTGTCTTTCCCTTACTTGACTATACACTCGTTGAGTTCAGATATTGGGACTGTCTTATTCATAGATGACTTCCTAGTGCCTGGCATAGTGCTTGACATACAGTGGACAATTTATAAATTGGTAATTTCTTTCATTTAGAGAAGAAAATTACATAGTACACAAGAAAATTGCATAGTACCACTTGGGACAAAAAGAAAAAATGCTAGGACCGTGGATTTCATTTTGTTTTAGGAGGGTTTTTGGTAGTATTTTCTAACCACCTACACTTGGTACCTATCTACTTATCCATAATCGATTAGTTTTTGTTTTTGTTGTTTTTCCCCCTGTTCACTCACTGTCATCTGTCCAAATGCTGTAAACTGACAGTAGTCAGAGATATTGGACTTTGTTGGGTAGTCCCAATTTAAAATATTTTGTCCCATTATTCCCATCTGTACATGGGTCCCCCAAAGTTTCATCACTATACGTGTAAGAGGATAGTTCATGAATGTGGTATTCAGTACCACTGTCCCCTTTAATAAGAGCCATATAGGAACCTCTAGACAAAGACACACAGGTTGCCACTCCAATTTATTTTCCCCACTCCAAAATCTATTAATTTAGACATAGAGTAATAACTCTGGAAAGACATTTAGAGACATTGAGTTCAGTCACCCTCATTCTACGGTGCAGAAGCTGAAGCCAGATGGGTTTTGGGACTTGCCCAAGATCTCACAGCTTGTTAGACACGCAGACAAAAAAATCTAGTGCTCTGACCCTCAGGCTGCACCACTACGTGGTACTCCTGGCATTTCAGATTACATTGGAAATCACAGATCAAGCGTTTCCTTCTATCTTGATATCTGTGTTAGGAAGAAAAATATCTGAGGAAAGGGTACTATTATAGGTTTCACAGAGGTTGTGGGGAGGAGGGGTATTGATGGAGAGGGGAGAGAGCAGAGAGGAGGGATTCTTGAATGAGACTTAGAAACTTAATTAACAAAAGTATGTTTTGTGGCAGCACCACAGTTCACTTATGTATCTGCCCTTGTTTTCAGAATTTTCCCCAGAGAATACCTCCTCCAACAGATCCACCTGTATTCCCTCGCCGACCTGCAGCAGGTAAGCACTCAGAGGGGCCATTTCATTTTGTTTTCTCCCTAGAGAAGTCTCTTTGTTGATTTTGTTCTGGGCACCTGAATTCTGCAATCTTTGAGATAGTTTTCACCACTAGCCCTAATATTCAATTAATTTCTATTCAGAATGGAAAACAAATTGGTAGTATTTTCTAACCACCTACACCTGGTACCTGTCTACTTATCCATAATCAGTTAGTTTTTGTTTTTTTTCCCCCCTGTATAAAAAAAGCTATAGGACAATAACAAATGTTGTGAGCATTACATTGCTATAAAATAATTCAGCTGCTATGGAAGACAGTTTGGCAGTTCCTCAACAAGTTAAACATAGAATTACCATATCACCCAGCAAATCCACACCTAAGTATATACTCAAGAGGACTGAAAACATATGTCCAGGCAAAAACTTGTACACAAACTTTCATAGCGGTATTATTCATAAAATAATGTCAAAAAGTGGAAACAACTGAAATGTATATCAAGTGAGAATGGATAAATTGTATCCACGCAGTAGAGTATTAGGCATTAAAAATGAATGAAGTACTGATTAGTTATACAACATGAATGAACCTTGAAAACATCAAGCTAAGTAAAAGAAGCCAGTCACAAACGACAACATATTGTATGATTCTGTTCATGTAAAATATCCAAAATAGGCAAATTCGTAGAGACAGTAAGTAGATTAGTGGTTACCAGGGTCTGAGAGGAGCTGGAGAATGAGAAATGACTGCCAGTGGGTACAGGGTTTATTTTTGGAGTGATGCAAATGTTCTAGAGTTAGATAGTGACAATGTTTGCACGACTTCGTGAATATACTAAAAACCACTGAATGATACACTGTAAGGGTAAATTTTTTTTTGTTTTTTGTTTTAATTGTACTTCAGGTGAAGGCTTACAGAACAAATAGTTTCTAATGAAACAGCAGTACACATATTGTTTTATGACATTGGTTAACAACCCCACAACATATCAACCCTCTCCCTTCTCGACCTTTTTTTTTGGTGAAAATATACATAGCCAAAGATACACCATTTCAAAAATTTCTACATGCACAGTTCAGTGACATCGACCACGCTCCTCCAATTGTGCTGCTGTTCTCATTTTGGATGAAGGCTTACAGAACAAAATAGTTTCTCATTTAACAGTTAGTACACATGTTGCCCTATGACAATGGTTAACAAACAACACATCAACACTATCCTTACTCAACCTTGGGTTCCCTATCACCAGCTTTCCTGTCCCCTTCTGCCTTCTGGACCTTGTCCCTGGACTGCTGTACCTCATTAGTGCCATTTGGTTTTATGGGGCTGTCCACTCCCCGGCTGAACGGTGAACCTCGGAGATAACTTCACCATTGAGCTAAAAGGGTGTCTGGGGGCCATACTCTCAGGGCTTCTCCATCTCCTTTAGGCCAGTAAATCTGGTCCTTTTTTTGTGAGTTAGAATTATGTTCTACATCCTTCTCCATCTCTGTCCAGAACCCTCTGTTGTAATCCCGGTCAGAGCAGTCAGTGGTGGCAGCCGGGCACTATCTAGCTGCACTGGACTCAGTCTGGTGGAGGCCTTGGCAGCTGTGGTCCGTTAGTCCTTCGGACTAATCTTTTGCTTGTATCCTGCTCTCCTCACTCTCCCCTGCTCCCGAAGGGATGAGACCAGCGGAGCATCCTAGATGGCTGCTCACAGGCCTTTAAAACCCCAGACGCTACTCACCAAGGTAGAACGCAGAACACTGTCTTTATAAACTGTGTTATGCCAATTGAGCTAGATGTTCCCTGAGACCATGGTCCCAACAGCCCTCCACTGTAAGGGTGAATTTTATGCTATGTGAATTATATCTCAGTAAAAATACTATATGAAAAAATATATATAAAAGACAATGAATATATTAAGCCTTTTGACTTATGCTCAAGCCAAACTGCTGGATGACTTTTAAACTTTAGTAAAACACAACAGAACATATAGGAGTCAAAAGATTATCTTGTTATACCTTTAATAGTGTGTGTCCTTTTAATGATTGACCAGGTTAGCAGCCAAGAATAAAACCATTTTGTCTCTTCAGCCATAAATGCTACATGTGTTAAGCTTTGGTTAATCATTTAAATCAACAACTCACTCCCTAAGGAGTTGTTAGACACTAAATAAAAACATTACTTTCCTCTCTAGGTATCTGTTAATTCTTTCAAGAGACAGTTTTAAAAATAATTGTGGCAACTTTCCGAGAATCTCAAACTACTGCGATGCTGCTCTGTTACTGCTGTTGTTGTTTCCCATTTGGTTGTTTTGCCCAGAGAAAATGAGGTCGGCTTAAATAACTGTGTTCAGATCCTTCAGTCATCCCATTATGCAATCATTACATTACATTTCAAGGTGTTTTTCTTATTTAAAAACTTAAGACTTTTGTGCTCTTTTTGTCACCGTGGAGGTAGGAAAGTTATTTTAAATGGCAGAAGTAATTCTACAGAGTTTATTTACAGAGGTCTGAGAGAATACTGACTTTTAATTTCCACTTGGGTGTCAAACTGAAACCTATTTGCACAGATCAGCTGCCCCAGCCCCTTCAGTCCTCTCTCCCAGGCCCTTTACTGCATAGTCAGACAGCAGTGATCTGCCAGCTAGGGTGGGAAGGGGTATTTTTTTTTTTTTTTTTTGTACTTTAGAAGAAGGTTTACAGAACAAATAGTTTCTCATTAAACAGTTAGTATACATATTGTTTTATGACATTGGTTAACAACCCCACGACATGTCAACACTCTCCTTTCTTCGACCTTGTGTTCCCTATTACTTTCCTGTCCTCTCCTGCCTTCTAGTCCTTGTCCCTGGGCTTTTGTGCCCATTAGTCTTGTTTTGTTTTATGGGCCTGTCTAATCTTTGACTGAAGGGTGAACCTCGGGAGTGACTTCATTACTGAGCTAAAAGGGTGTCCAGGGGCCATACTCTCGGAGTTTCTCCAGTCTCTGTCAGGCCAGTAAGTCTGGTCTTTTTTTGTGTTAGAATTTTGTTCTACGTTTTTCTCCAGCTCTGTCCGGGACCCTCTGTTGTGATCCTTGTCAGAGCCGTCAGTGGTGGTAGTCAGGCACCATCTAGTTGTACTGGACTCAGTCTGGTGGAGGCTGTGGTAGTTGTGGTCCATTAGTCCTTTGGACTAATCTTTCCCTTGTATCTTGTTTTCTTCATTCTCCCTTGCTCCCGAAGGGGTGAGACCAGTGGAGTATCTTAGATGGCTGCTCACAGGCTTTTAAGACCGGGAAGGGTATATTTTTAATTACGATTTTCAAATGGTGTTTAAGGAAAAGAATCTGTGAAAACCTTCACTATACATTTGTCTATTTTCTAGGACTCTTCCTGATCATGGTATCTGAGGACCCAGACTCTATCACTTGAGAAGTACCTTTAAAGGCCCAGACTGTTCTTGTAAAGGTGGTTTAAAATAGAATGGGTGGGCTCCAAAGTGAGTTCTCTTTGAGGATGCCTTTCAAAAACGAGTTTTGATATCAGATGAAGAGAAAGAATCAGAGTAATTCCATATTCATTTTAGGGCGTCAAAGTAGTTCCTCCATTTGGCATAATAAAGCCTGCTTTTTAAAGCTTTCCTATATCCTTCTGTCTCCTCCCCGCCCCCCCCCCCATTTTTTTTCTTGTAATAATCAAACCATACATGCCAGGCAGCTTACTTGAATCAGTGGCAGCAATAGTCTTGGTGGGCCAGACCATTAGCCCCTGGAGCCCCATAAGCAGCTTAATCAGTTTTCAGCCTTGGTAGTAAAGTGATAGAGGCAATCAACAGCTTATCAAAACTCCCCATGGGTGGGGGCGGCTAGAGCTGAATGCATCCATTTACTTAACAGCTCACTCCAACCTGGTTCTTTGTGCCCGGCTTTCAGAGCCCCAAACTTATCATATTTAGAGGAAGTTTAATTCAATTACTTTTTCTGCCTGAGGTGGGTTAAATTGGATTTAGCTTTTGATCTGTCTACATCTTGGCTATCAGCACAGGGGGGCACCCCCACCCCATCTTCCCTTAGTTTCTGAGTAAATTTCAAGCAAGTTTTCTGGATCTGTTCTTGCAAATATGTAAGGGAAGTGAACACAAGGAGAAAGAAAAAATATATATTACTGCTTTGTGAAAAAAGCATGTCAGTGGTACCAGCAAAGTCCACCTTTCCTAACTGACCCAGCCACCACCCCCATATTGGTCTCTGTACCTTTTTGGCCTCCCCCTGGCTGCTTCACCTTCCTGTTTCATGTCATCTTCAGGGTTTCTGAGGAAATTATTTTCCTCATGCTTGATTCCCCTCCTCACTCCTAAAACAGATTTCTATAAAAGCAGATCTTTCTATCATATAAAGTAACTATAGAAAAATGAATTTCAGCTTACAGACTTTTCAGGGAAAAGCAAATAAACTAAAGCAAGTAAATGAAGAGTTATATATCCTGAATAATGATAATACTAAAAATATCCTTCCTAATGGCACAGATGCCTTTCTACAAATTTCTCTTAAGTGAATTTGATTTTTCCCACTGGCTTTTATTTAAAAAAACAAAATGTAGACACTTAGACATTTTCCTCTCAAAGAGAAAAGGAAAGAACTTAATAAACATGGTAAAGGGGATTTAGAAATTATATATAATTTAAAAATAATATAGTACATAAAATATAAATTATACTTAAAATAAAGATGCTGAAGGAATTCTGGAACCAAAAAATTTGTACCTACTCGTCTCTCTTTCATTTCCTTATTAGAAGTAACAGTCCCTAAAGTTTTAGCAGATAGACTTAGTTTATCAATTTGGCTGAAACTTCTAGTATTTGGGAAGCCTCTATCTTCATTTTATGCCCCTTTCCTTGGCCCTTCTACTAGAACAGGAAGAGTACTTGGCTCTAATATGTTATGACTACCTTCTTCCCCGTTAAGTGTGTGAGAAACCATCTCCTACTCACTCTTGCCTCTTTAAATGCTGATAAGAAGGTTCCAGATTTTACCATTA